TAATCGATTTTACTACAACAATGTTGAGCGTTTCTGGCGACTGGTTGTCCTCAATCCATTAAGTGTCAATCATGGTTAAAGTTAAACTAAATGCGATGTACGCCAAACTTACATCTAACCACACATAGTCACAGACAAAAATGCAGTTTCTTAGGTTTTAACCATGAATAGATTTCCATTTCTACATCACATGAGAAGCCGACTCAAGAACGGACAGCAACGCATATAAACTTACGAATAAACGTATTCTAATCGGTGTTTGTAAGAGATACTAACTCGTCGTAACGCATAAATCATCGTTTGAATCTGTACGCTGCATTTTTATGCCATGAAGCGACGGAAAGGGGCATTTAAGCATGGGCTGCTGGTTTTGTTAGCGCTTCATCCTGCAGCTGCCACATGGAATCTATATGGCTGGGCACTGGTCAGCTGCATTAACTGCGAGATCCAGCCAATAATGTAGTATATCAGTGGATAGCTCTCCATAGTGAGTTAAGAAGCCTTTGTGAAACAAGGAAAATTCTTATTATACTTATACTGTGATGACCATTGCGATGTCAGCACTTTAGCGAAAAGGCTACGGTCGCGAGTTTTAATTTATGTCATTGGCAGATGATGTCTGTATCAATGATTTGATTTCGCCTATCACAGTGTCTATTACCAGAAAGCTCCGTGCGGATACACTAAGATGCCGTTGTCAAACTGTGAATATCGACGAATTTCATTTTACCTTAAGATTCCATTGTGGCGTGAAGATGGTAAATCAGAGCTGTTATTCGACTGGGAGACCAGACTTAATACCCGACCTCGCCTCACCAACGCACTGCAATTATCAAGCAATCAGAGAGAGCATTTCACTGATATGCAACATGATGAAACTTATTATGAAGGAATCAAAGATATGCTTCTGAAAGTTCCATACAATTAAACTGGCGACTGCTAATGTTAACGGTGATGGGTGCCGATTTAATGATGTTGCTGTAAATGTCCAATGAAATTGTGAGATGAAGATGCAAACTTTGAATTATATACTTATGATGAAGGAGTCATATTCTGCGCACAAAGAGCTTTCCAGCGATGTATTACATGACGAATTAAATCAAGTAATTGATACAGATGACCATCTGAAATTATATTAACTCACATTAACGATCAAAGAGAAAGGCACGCTAAATTAGCGATCAGGCGCAATCATCAACTGAATCACAAAATGAAAATCATTGATATTCATAATGTAAAAAAGGCACCGCACTGTACCCTCAGAGAGATTCTACTGATAAACAATATGAAGGGCGAAATCAAATCATTGTTACAAAACGACTATCTGTCAATGATATAAATTCAACCTCATGACCGCAGAAAGTGCGCTGACGTGGTGACATCGCACGGTCATCACTATGCAAGTACAATAAGAAATTTACTAGTTTCACAACAGCATCTTACTTCGATCCAGGAGATCGAACCCTGACGAATAACACGACGGGCTGAACCACGCAGTTGATGCAGCTGACCAATGTCCAGCTCTGCTAATTCAACGCGACAATCGCAGAATCAAGCGCTGGCATAGACTAACATCTTGCGCCTAGATGGCTGCGCAAAAACAGCTCTAACCGTAGAGCGAGATGGCCAGCGTACACACTCAGTAAGCCGCTAGGCTAGGCCACCGTACAAATCTCCGTAAATGATAAGTACATGACATGGCAACTTTGTGAAGCATCACTTTATACATGTTAAAAACCGAATAAAATCTTATCTGATAATTAAGACAAAACGAAGTGAAGTACACACAACGAATCAGAAAGAAAACTGTCTGTTTTGCATAATAAGCCGTACAGATTCCCTGACCTCAAATGGCGTAATCGCACACGTGCGAGCAGAATCATCGGTCATAGTTTCAGAGGTATTTTCAAAGAGCAGCTGATGAGGGTACAAAATCAATTTAGATCTGATCTTCGGCTTTTGACTAACATAAGGAAGACAGTTCGCGTCAAGAAATAGAGCGGATTTTTCTCGTGCTCCCAGGGCATAGTCCATTATGGTAAGAACGATTTCATGAGCGATGATCGCCAGCACTTCACAAGACATAACCGAGATATCGACTACCTGGAAGAACGGGTCTTCGCCAACCACGAAGTCTTGTAATTGCTTGCAAGTGGCGAACGGCTGAAGGAAAGACACCTGCCGGGCGGCAGTGAATCGCTCGTACTCCGCGGCCGTCATTGACAATGTCATATACGCGATACGCATAAGTCGATCACGTCTGACAACGCTGTTTCTTTCCTGCCTAACAATTTCTTCCAAACAATCTCTGTTCATAAAATGAAGCATACTTCGGCAAATATTTATTCGTTTCTGAGAATTCTTTTGGTTCTCCTTGATGTCCATCGGGTCTGAATTCAACTTCGTCATAACGTCCTTCATGTGCCATCCGTAAACAACGCATCGCAACAACTCCTCGTTTCTCCTTATTGAAAAGAGTAGATCGCAAACATCGAAATATTGGCGCGAACGAGTTTCTGCGTTTCGCTGTGCCACATTAACCAACTCTTTCAGTTTCACTTTCAAGAAACTTTCAATTATTTCGGCAGACTCTATCAACGGAAGCTCAACGTCACCTGCTCCGTACATCATCCTCTGAATTTTAGGAATAAAACTCACGTCTTCTCGCGACTTAACATGACGTCGCCGTTTCTTGGGCTTCTGAAAAATTTTTATTTCAACAGAGAAAATTAAAAGCTGAATTCACTATGGCAACTCGTCTTTGGAAATAGGACTTACTACTAGTCGCAATACATCGAAAAAATAAAAGAAACATTCGAATTGAAACTTTAGTCTACAACCTTCACGTGCAGTTAACAACAAACGTAAATCCGCGGTTGCAGATCCCATGCCAGAGAAAGAAGCAGGTTCGGCTAACAAAATTTTGCTAGCTGCCCTTCATGATATTGCAGTTATCGAACACTGTACCAGCTCGGTCATCGTTCCCAAAGGGCGCGCAGGCTGTTGGGGAACTGAAACAGGCTGCTGCGAAAATTCAGCGATCAGAACAGGTTCATCTCCTGGTAGACAGGGGGGATAGCAGCAGGGCAATGGCAAGATCGACGAAACGACGACGAAGATACCGGAGTCGCTGCTCGTCCTGAATGAATATGCAGACAGCGCGATGCCATTATAGCACGTCAGAAGAGGTTCCACGGAAACGACATCGCCAGTGGGAGCGTACAGTCAGAAATTGGAATATATCCTCACTTACAGGGCGGGTTGATGAGACCGCAATGATCGACTGGACATAGACTCTCGTCAACGATTCGCCACGGCCTGTAATTCTGAACCTCAACGAGCCAATGTTCTTCTACTCAGGTATCCATTCCATGACACGCGCTAAGGCCGGTGCTGATGTTCTGATAGAACCTAACCTGGCGGACAATATCAAAAAAGAGCTGTGTGTCACTTCAGGACAAAGTGAAGCACGTCTGGCAAAATCTTCCCTTATGGCAGATTGTTGAGAAATCATTAAAGTTCGCTTACCTGGTGTACTTTGCGGAGCTGATGAAAGTACAACAATTTCTCGGCGTGCCTGCGAACATATGGGATTGACGGCTAGTTGCAACCAGCCAACCATCCACTATATCTTGATAGTAGGTGCTACGTCAGAGTAAATGGCGTTAAATCGAAGACTTTCAGTGTTGGCACTGGTCTCCGCCAAGGCTGCGTCCTGTACCTTCTCCTATTTGTGTTGTACAGTGATAGAATAGTCAGGAGCAACCAAGGCGATGAGTGCATCGGTATAGGAGATGTGGAAAAAAGAAGGTTGCTGTTTGCAGTCGACCTTGTTTTATTGGCCTTTTCTGAAACTGATCTACAGTGCTTCCTAGAAATGCTGGCAGCTGAGTGTGACTTGGTCGGTATGTATGCGAACGCATCGAAAACGAAAAGTCTAGCGATTTCTCGTTCTCCTGCCTGTCGCTCCATTCAGAGAGACAGAAAATTCGTAGAGCAGGTGGAGAAGTTCAAGCTTTCCGTGGTCGTGTTTACAGGTAATGGAAAATGGAAGAGATCAGTCAGCAGACTTGAGTAGCCAGTGACGTTCTGTGTGAACAAGCCCAAACCACTGTGGCTAAAGCAGAGCTGAGTCTGAAACCTAAGCTCTCGGTATTCAAGTCGATCGTCATCCCCATTTTTACCTACTATCAGGAGTCGTAGACCATGATGACTGGAAAACTTTGACCCCGAGTATAAGCGGCTGAAATGGGCTTTCTGAAATGAGTTGTCAGACTTACATATCTCGACAGGTTTCGCACTACAGACATCCGAGAAAGCCTTTGTGTGGGTCAGCTACTTCACTGAAGAGTCAAAGCTGCGATAGTTTGTGCACATCTTGCGAATGCCCCCAAAGAGAAGCGAGTCAACTACTACTTGCCCAACCACCGGCAGAAGAACCCGCCGACGGCCAAGAATAACATGGTGCAAACGTCTCTGCTTTAAACTCGGGTTATGTTCTGCTGAAGTTAAAACGTTGGCACAAAATTGGGAACAGCGGAGACATTTTGCGAAGCATCTGTCTCCAGGAAACGAAAGGATCAGCAGTAATCAAAAATAACTGACTGAGCAATCGACATAAACAGAAATCGCGGGAAAAATCAGATTTGCAGCCCGCCTGCTTCTTACTTGTGATCTTTTCAGCCTGTTTTATATCATGCCCATTATTAGCCCCCTTACTCGGGCGAGTTTCAAACTATTACCTATGCAATTACCGCACATCGGTGTTCAAAAATGACCTGTCTAAAGACACACTGCTTTTGTTTCACGGCAGTATATTATGCCACGTTACATACAGAAACTAATCTGAATAACTCTGCTGCTCCAGTTGTGTTTAGCCTGATACAATGTAAAAAAAAGTACAAGAAAGTAATATCATACCATAGTACAACGCTTATGAAAGTCAAGCGATCTCAAGAACGTTGAACTCAATGATCTTCAACTGTTGAATACATGTTTTTCGTCTCGATGCACTTCTCAACGTTAAATCTGAAAAAATTATTTTCAGACAAAAACCAACAGCAGCAATTAAATAAAGCCGAGATCCATGAAAAGGTAACTTAAATAAGGTAGTAATCTTTTTACCCTTATACTCCGGCAAATGCGTTTCAGCCATCTCTATAGCAATATAAATGCAAATTTTACAATGTGCAAATACAATTTCAAACCCCCCTTCCGCTCATGTCAGGTAATGGGGTACAGTAAATTAAACGTATGCACTATTTCAGCCTGGCTACATATATTACATACGATAATATATTCTAATTAGCATTAATTTTAAATTTTAGCATTAATTACCATGAAATTAGCATTAATTTAGCATGAAATTAGCATTAATTTCAACATAATTTATAGTTTCTACTTTTAACTATTCACACACACACATACACACACACACACACACACCTTACGAAGATAACTCTAAATAAATATTAAGACATCCTTTAGGATATTTTAGCAAATAAGAGAAACTAATATATGATACATACAGTAACAAATAGAGGTAACGGGTCTACCCAAGAATCAATATACGATCTACACAACACTACTTGTCATATCTTTTCCGTCTTGACTATCCAAACAATGCAGTATTACTTATCAAGTTCTTTGAACTTCCGTGAGTCTTGCCCAGGAAACCTTAAATTCCGTTCCGAGGTAAAGGGCACGACGAGAGATATTAAAACGTCATTCATGTGATTAATATGCAAGGTTGCCCCCAAACCAAATATTTATCGTTGTACTCAGTGTCAATCGCAAAGACCGAGTTGCCTTAAAGATAGAATGAGATACATCAACGCCTAAAACCACTGCCTAGACAGTTGATCGCTTCATCAGTTCAATTACCTTACTTTCTGACTGCTTTCCGCGGCGGGACTGTGAAGAAATAATTTCTGAGGAGCACTCTAAAAACGAATTATGATATATGACTTTTAGTGTTATCCCGATATAACTTAACATTACTACAGTATAAATTACTATAACATGCATTATTATTATCATATAGTTTTGTTAATGTTTGTCATCCCTTGAAGAAGTGGCCTGAAATGTTAGACAATATCTACATAATAAATTCAAAGTATCATCCAGTAAAGGATTTTAATTGGCCCGTTCAATTTGTGATAGTACCTTCGAATAAAGAAGTCCCGAAGATGACCGTTAAACACCAGCAGTTATCACGCGCGATTTATTAACGATATTAAAGCCAAAAATAGATAATTTAAAGTCATCACTGAAGAGCAGAACACAACTGAACATAGGCCAATATATACTTCACGCAAAACTTGAAGAAAATTATTTAAGAGACACAACATAGTCAGAGTAATATAAAATAATGTCGGCATCATATAACACTACTTCTACAGCTGAAACATAACAAAAATGTGTAAATACAGTTCCAGCGGCTGCAAAAATGAAAATATGACCAAAACACAGAGTCCCGATGAGCTGACTCACCTTTCACCTCTCTAAAGGATAAAACAATACAACGTGATCGGCGAAAACATTAAGTTATAGTGTCTCCCTAACTGTTTGTATTCCCTTCAAAACCAATGCAGTCATACATGAATACATGTTAGCACAGATGGACGCGCAACATGAGTTCTGCTAGGAATGGTCAATAAATGGTTGTTCAAATTAAGCTTGAAAGTGCGACTCACATTATCTGCCTTGTCAAAGATAGAAAGCTAAAAAAAAGAAAAGTAGAATTTTCCACATCCACGAATATGGGTTTTACGGCACCCGAGTTTTCAAAAAATAACATGAGTTAGAAGTCAAATATTTGGCTAATAATTTAAGTATTAACAATACAAAAATATTAATAAACATAAGGAAACATGCTTGCTCAAGAATACCATACTTCATAGTGTTACAACACAGTACGAACTCATACACACGGTTACTAAAGATATACCTACCGGAACGTTGTTTTACAAGACATCTTCAGGTACAGTTGCAATAAGTGTACATTATAATGGTTTAAGCATTAAAAAATCAAAACTGGCGGAAATGTGAGCAATTTATTGAAAGCTTAGTTTGTTTCAAAAAAAGAGCACAAATTACAGTAAAATTAAATATGCAACAAATTATCAAATACGTATTATAGTATAGTTAAGTGAATGCTGCAGAGGAAAGGGAGGAATTAGCATTGTCAGCATTAATAGCAAGTTGGCTCAAATTATTACCGTGTAGGCTAAGCCTTAATTTTTCTTTCTGAATCCAGTACCCATCCTTATCAGAAAATTTGTAGTCCAATATTGGTAATTTTGTCCCCCTATCTTTAGGCTTATAAATTCAGGAGCCCTGTAATAATTTAGATCATCTGCAAAAGGAAAGAAACTACACACAATTTTATCGTTCAACGCTTAACGTCACAGAAAGCATCGTTGCGAATCTTGTTTGAAAATCAGTGGCCACTTTCATGAGTGCCCTTTAGGGATTTCTTTTAAATTTTACTGTCAACAAGTACGTAAAGCTTAAACTTTGTATGAATTTTATTCGCATTGCCCATGTTCGTTTTGAAAACTCCTGAAATTGAAAGGTATTGTAGTGAATTTGAAGTTCGCTATTTAGTACTAATATGTTTGTGAACGGCC